TATTTACATTGCTTTCTGTTTTTTTGTTTTGTTTTGTTTGGTTGGTTTTTTTGTTTTTAAAAAAAAAATCAATTTATTGTATCAAACACATTGTTTGCATTGGAAGGCATTTAATGGTGTGAATCAACCGTTAAAGTTGGTTAAATTGCTCCCGTTATTGCATTACTGCTTTATTTCTCTTCTGTTTATATTTGACATGCTGTGGAACCCCATAGCCAGGTAGCGTCATGTGGGCGTGGTTTGTAGGGGCGTGGTTTGTAGGGGCTGTGCCTTGGCTCCGGCTGCAGTCAGACCCTTCTGGGTCTTGATATTGCTATTATATTTTAAATAACATGTAATATATAGGTGGATCATCCCCCATCACCTTGGGCAACCAGCCAATCCTTGATTAGAGACGGAAAACACCTGTTTTGTGGTAAGTTGGATGGAGTCATGGTTTACTCGGGCTCAGTGCAATCATGGCCGGCAGGGGCAACTATATTCCTCTGCTGAGGGCCCTCTGCGTTATTTATTCATTTTTTAAACACTTGAGACCATCACACTAACCCTTCTTACCAGCTATACTATTCCTCACTCCCTACATCCTGTCCTGTTCCCACTGTCTTCCTTCTTTATTACTGCCTCATGGTTTATATTTACTGCCCCCTGCCCCCCATGTTAGGTATTGCTGTAACAAACTAAGTAGTTTAAAACATTACAGTTTATAGTTCTATTATTTCAGGTAATATCAGTGTGCAGTTACAAGAGCATTACTTAATTACAGACGTTATTCTTGGATATTCATTCAGAATGCTCCTGTTTTTCTTTCATGATGACTTAAGTAAATAAGGAAACTGAAACATAAATAGACTTCAGGACGGCTTCTTTGGCAAGTTAATTTAAAAACCAAAAAAAAACAAAAAACTAATCCAGGAGACCAATGAAGTTGTTGGGGTGGAGCTGGGCTCACTGACAGTGGCTTCTGAGAGGAGGATGCAGCCCAAGCTGCATGTCATCAATGTTTCCCACCCACTCCATTACATGCCAGTCAGCCACAGGAGCTCATTCAGTCATACACGCATCCCACCTAGATGCACCACAGGAAATCATTCCTGCCTGTGGCCATCAAACTGCTTCACTCTTAACTCAGAGTGTCAGACACTCTGAGCCAATGGCCAGACTGGACTGATGTTTCAATGAAAGCAGTGAACTAATTTTCACTTGACAAATAACTACGTATTGTCACAACCGAACTAGGATGTGAACCCAAATGCACGACTCGGGAGACAAAGTTCAAATAAATAATCTTTTCATGACAAAGTTTCAAATGAAAATCACTCAGAGGAAAAACTACACAACTAAAAATCACTCACTGAGAGGAAAAACAGCAACAAAAACACTGATGAAAATGTTCTTGGAATACTACATAACAAAAAAATCACTCTTATGAGGAAAAACTATAACTATAGAAAAAGGCAAAACAAAGTATCAAAATAACATAAGACAAGACTGTGGTAAATAGAAAGCAAACTATCAAAAGAACACAAAAACCTGACTCTGACAGGATGACGTGGCATGGACTGGCATAGGTTCTCTGACTTCAAAAGACAAGACAAACTGGCACAGGACAAAGAGAGACGCAGACTATATATACCCACACAAGGTAATGGGGAACAGGTGGAAACAATCAGGGTAGGGCAGACAGTCAGACCAGTGGGAAACACACAAGGGGAAGGAGCAAGTTACCTGAAACGAGAGGGGAGTTAAATGTCAAAATAAAACAGGAAACTGACACATTGACACAAGACAAAAAACAAGCTTAACATAACTTCTTGGACATGACACATATCTCTGTGCAGTAACAAACGATTTACTTCCTCTGTCCAATGACACACTTTTACACTGTGTACTTACATTTTATTTTCTTAGAAAATGTACATTTCACATTTTATGCTTGTACTTTTTCTACTTATTGTAGTTGACCCTGACCAGGGGGCAACTGTAAACTAATCAGTTCCATCTGTGCGTCCGTTGTCTGTGTGCCTGTCAGCACTCTGTAGCTTGAGTGCTGAGTTCTAACAAGTTGATATTTTAGAGGTGAGCTCCTCTAATTGGCGTAAATCTTTTCATCTTGATCGACCTGAGGGGTGTTTGTATGGCAGGAGGTTTCTCTGCAGCTGCAATCAGCTGGAGGTGAGCTCCTTGTGTAGTTCTGCAGCTCCTACAACCGGAACGTTGTAGTGGCGATCATCCTCTGTGATCATCCTCTCCTCTGAATGACTAGATTTGGGGGTCAGTTTGTGCAAAAAGAGCTCCCCTAGCTCCACACTTTTTCAAAAATGCAGTATCATTGGTGCACAGGGGCAACTATATCCCTCCACTGAGGGCCCTCTAGTATTTATATTTTTTAGGACATGTTTTTCTACTTATGTTTATCTATATATGTTTTTGTGCTGTTTATATTTCTAAGACTTTGAATGGGAGCAACTGTGATGTAAGCAATTTCCTCTCTTTTTTACTTTAGTGGCTTTCTTATACAATCTATGGAATGGACAGACAAACCCTTAAATAGCGAGTCTGCATCGGTTTTGGAGGAGGTGCGCGTTTGTCACAGTCATGGCGGAAACAATGTACAATTCTGAGAGTTCCACCTTTCTACATTGTCATGTATATCAGATCAAACACTCACACCCTTGTTTTCTTCACTGACTTTACACCTCAAACTAAATCGCAGAATGCGTTAAAGAGATCAAAGGTTGAAAAAGAAGCTCATCAGTCTGCGGATGCAAGCTGACCATTGCTATGGTGACGTTTCCGGTGACGTGGCAAGGGCATCCCATTGTTTGGCTTATTTTTTGTACCCTCCCCCTTAATCAGGAGTGCCCTTCACAGCTGCAAGTGTAACTCGACTTGGAGTGACACTCAGTAGTAGAGTGAAAGTATGTAGGGGGTGGTTTGGGATTGGACCATACACGCTCATGTGATGCCCCGCATCCAGGAAGTGTAAAATGAGTAAACACCCAGCAAAGATACATTTTAAATCTGTTAATAATACAAAGAATATGAACATTATTAGTAATTTAATTATTGTTTTGTTGTAATGAATTTAAATTCAATATTGTGTTTGAGAACTACTTTTTATCTGGTAATTACTAGTGGGCCGGGGCCCCTGCACCCCGTATTGACCAGCCGCCACATATATTTGTGAGTTCCTCAGAACACATTTGAGAGTCTATATGTCTTATGAATATTACAAAATGGTAAAAGCAGGGCACATCTATTACAGGAGTTGCATTTGGTTCCAAGGTGCATTTCTGGTTCAGCAGCCCCCACTGATTCCTATTGCAGATCATTTGAATATCTAATTTGGAAATCCCTTTTCCTCACTAACAACAGCAGGAATACCTCAAAGGTAAGAGTTCGAGATCTATCCTATCATCACAGGAAGCTGAACTGGAGAGAGTTTTCTGGCCTCATCTTCACAACCTCTTTGAGAGCTAAGAATGCTGTCCCTGCAGTTTTCCTCCTCTACAGCCAGATAAAGGGCAGCAGATGAGATCTTCTTTCTGTTGGCACTCTTTATGACTCATCTTTTAAAAGTCATCTGCTGTACAAGATAGCAGATGGAGACCTGCTTTGTAAAAACCATTAATATACAAGCATCACAAGTAGGGGACTCTCCACAAATGTTTAGAGGGGTGGCAAGAGGGGGCTACAGAAAATCTTGAGGTGGCACGCAAAAGCCAAAAGCTACGACTAAATTTTCAGGAACTCAGTTATGATGTTGTAGCATAGAGGCTGGATGAAAAACTGTCATTATTAGAGTTTTGAAAATCACATACTGATATACCTTTGTTTTATATTATTATACATTTATTGCTACTAATTTTCTGAGGGGAGGCCAATCACAGGTACAGCTGCCATTTTAGGTATATGGGTGACTACCATTTAAACAGACAAATAATACCCAGTTGTGATGCGGGCAGGATTACAGTCTGACACTGGCCTACAATACTACAATGAAAACAGCTCCCTCCTATCTGAGCTCTCTCATTCAGGTCTACACTCCCTCCCGCGCACTACGCTCAGCCAACAAAAGGTGCCTGGTACAACCACCCCTACAGAGCCCACGGTTGACTCTTCTCATCTGTGGTTCCCAGGTGGTGGAACAGTTAACAAACTCTGTTCCATCTGCAGAGTCCCTCTCAGTCTTTCAGAAAAGACTAAAGACCCAGCTCTTCACTGAACACCACCTTTGTATTTGACAGACTGCAAAAAGCAAATGAATGAGTAAATAAAATAAACTACAGAAAATAAAAAACTAAAACAAAATTCCTTTTACCTCCCACACCACCTATAGGCATCAATCTCCTATCACACTTGAACTTGTCTTATCCAGGTTGTTTTTTTCCTGATTAGGTCCTTGCTTGTGTTGAATCTACTCTTAGATGTATGTCGCTTTGGACAAAAGCGTCTGCTAAATGAAATTGTAGAATTGCCGGATTATCTATGCTTCTATCGCACAAATGCGCACACTTGTCTTTGTTTGGAGATGTTTGATGCTTCTGGTATTTAATCAACTCAAAGGAAAGCCTTCTACAAACAACTGGAAGCAACAAAGTAAACTTCAGCTCAGGTCTGTGTGCCACCACCTGCGTCAGACAAAGACACCAAATGTCACCATGGCTCTCTGATTTTCTTTCTTTTTTTTTTTTTGTAAGAATGCCTGCTGTACGCATAGCGTTACAGTCAGTCATGCTGCTTTCACGTGCACTCGGACACCGGCGTTGCAGTCATAGAAAATTAGACCCCAGAGTTCAGTGAATGCACGTGACTTATCAGACAGTGAATGTACTTGACCGATCAGATCTGAGGTGGTGACCAGTGAGGTTTCAGGGTTGGCTGTGACCCCGCTTTCGAGCGTTGACTGTCAGTCCGCAGTTCCGCCTGCCTCCATGTAGCAATATTTTATTGTGAAAATATCCAGGCGGACGGTGAAAACGGAACGTTCTCGCGTGTGAAGCGGAACAAACTGTGGAACATCTGACAGATCTGAGAATGAACGAAAGTACATGAGTCAGCGTCAGTGTCCGGACACTGCGACCGACCGGAGATAAAGACGATAAAATTAGGTACGCTTTTTTTGCTTTTATTTTTCCTGACACGACACGAGGAAGGTCAGTCGCTAGCGGTGAGATGAGACTGTCTGCTCTGCCCAGCTGCCAGCTGATTAACTGATATATTAAAGTTTTCATCAGATCAGATTTACAGTTGATATATATATACACCTGTCGGACCCAACAATGACACAGAGATCGTTCTGCATATGTAAGATTTCTCTACATTTGCTTGTGTTTCCTGTAAACGCCGCTGTTATCACCGGCTGCAGCAGCACCCGAGAACGCTGCGGGACCGAGAGACCGAGTCTTCCCAGGGACACTGTGTCTCCTCAGCCTGTGGAGCTCCTTGTAGTCCCGGTGTGTGATCGGAGCAGCCACTCTAAGCTGCCATTTCTCTCCCTCAGGACATTTGTATTAATCAGCCTGTAGAACCTGCTCTGTTTTGTAAAGATTACTCCGGAACAGTCAGTAAAATGGAAACTGAGTAGAGTGTTCTTGACTTTTTATGCTCATGATACAAAATTAATGGCTTTGAAAAAATAATAAGCATATGATTTTGCTGTTATGAGTCCTGGCAGTCTAATCACAGTCGAGCAGAAATGTGACACTGTTAGCATCATCTCACTGCATGTTCGTGCACATACACAAGCATTCATGTGTGCAAGCATGAGAGATAAAGAAAACAGGAAAGCACTGCTTTACAGCACCCTAACTCCACAGGGTGCCTTTAAGTTCCTTTTCACATCAGTTGGTTGATTATATATTTGAACTGTTCACAGAAGACTCCCTGAAACAGAGACACAGCAGAACGGAAGGATGAGCCTACTACACAGGTTAGTAACAAGCTGCTATTGATACTGAGGCTTAAAAGTCAATCAATGACTAACTCAGCTTTTGGGATGCAGATGGTGAGCAGTTTTCTTGTGTATCTACCTGGAGACACACCTCTTTTTAGTTTGATGATACTTCCTATAATATTATCTTAATGAAGCGGACATTGACAATAAATTCTAAAAACTTGTTTAACTGTAAACTAAATTTTATAATTGATCCTACATCCACCCAACCGGTCGAGGCAGATGGCCGTCCCTCCCTTAGCCTGGTTCTGTCGGAGGTTTTTTTTTCCCCTGTGGGGGTTTTCGGTTCCTTCCCACTGTTGCAGACTGCTGGCGGACTGCTGAAGCTTATAGAGAATCCAAATGTTTTGGATTGTTGGGTGTTTCTGTCTCTGCCTTTGTGAAGCGCTATGAGATGACTTGTTGTTGTAAATATGCACTATACAAATAAAATTGAATTGAATTGAATTGAATTGACCTGGTTTTCAGTTTTGATGAATCTGATGCAGACTGCTTCCATCTGCCATTGTTATCTCCAGCTCCTTTGCCTGTTACACTGCTGAGTAGTGAGTGACAGCCGAGTAGCTCTGGCTTGGTCACTGTTTATGTCACCCTGTTTGTGAGTAAATGCAGCCACTTGTCTGCGGCGACAGAACATTTGTAGCCTATTAGTGTCAGTGATATTGTTTTTGGTCGTAGTCACAGGTGCAGCAGCCCACACTGCTGACACAGTCCTGATAATAGGTTTTTCGGAGTGAGCAATTATGAGAGGATCTCTCCTGTTCCTCTCAGCAGTGTGTTGTTCCAAATGAAGCAGGAAGCAGGATTTTTGTGTTGTTTGCCATATTCCTGAAATAACCAGAATCTAATGAAAAGTCATGCAATTTAGGATATACTAAAGTTTGTTTATTTTCTGTTGTTACTTTATTCAACTTACTTGTAGAATGTGAAATACTTACAGTGAATATAAAAAGTCCATACACCTCTGTTAAAATGGCACATTTTGTGATGGAAAAAAATGAAACCAAGATAACTCATATCAGAACCTTTTCTACCTTTATTGTAACACTCCAACACATGAAGTAATACTTAGTTAAAGGACCTTGAGATCTTATCACTGCACCTAATTTTTTTTTTTTACGTTAGAGTTGGTGCATGTTTTCGTGGCAATATTTGGCTTGTGCATTGCCCTCTTTGACCCACCCACCATGGCAGTCTTCAGTTTTCAATGACTCCTTTAACTCAGAATTTTGTATGATGGAATTATTGAAACACATTCATCTTTGTTACAAAACAAGCAAAAAATAATAATGTATTTTGCTTTTTTCACAGATTTGTTATCGGCCTGCTGGAAATATGACAAAATCTGCTAGGCCAAAACCTTATATACAGCAATGCTAATATTGGATTGAATGTCCTTTGGCTATTTTCACCTCAACTTGGTGCTTTTGGTAGCTGTCCACAAGCTTCTGGTTGTATGTCTGACCACTCGTCTTTGAAGAATTTGTACAGTCAAAGTGAATTTTTTGTCTTTCTGACACAGATTTGTTTTTTCAGTAAAGTCCACAGACTCGTGATGGGGTTTAGGTCAGGACTTTGGGGAGGCCAGTTTAAAACCTTAGTTCTAGCCTGATTTAGCTGTTGCCTTATCACTTTTGATATGTTTGGGGTCATTGTCTTGACCCCAACACTGAACTGCATCCAAGACCCAATCTTCTGGCTGAGGATTTTAGGGTTTCCTGAAGAATGTAGAGGTAATCCTCCTTCTCTGTTATTCCATTTACTTTGCTTAAAATACCAGTTCCACTGGTACAGAAACAGCTCCAGAGCATAATACTACCACCACCATGCTTGGCAGCAGGTTTGGTGTTCTTGGGATTATAGGCCTCACCATCCCTTCACCAAACATATTTCTGCTCATTGTGGCCAGATAGCTCAATTTATTTTTCATCTGACCACAGAACTCTTCCTGCAGAAGGCCCTTCCTTTGTCCGTGTGATCAGCAGCAAACTTCAGTTGAGCCTTAAAATGCAACTTTAGCCCTTTATAGAGCACTCATTGAAATATTTAAAAATGTAAACCCTGGAGTGTTATTGGTCGATATAATATGATATTTTTTTATTTTTTGAATTAAAAAAAAAAAATTCAGATTTTGGCTGCAAATCAAAGTCAAAGCAGTTACCATATACGAATCCCCCCCACATGAATCCAAACAATATATAGATCAATTATTATAAAAAAAATACTAAAGAATTCCAAATCACAGACTTGCGGAACATATGACATTGTGTCAAAATATCACTCTGGCTCACTGGTTATTAGTCAGAGACCATAGTAACTGTGTTGTGATGTAGCCTGACCTTCGTTGACTGGCTGGCTGAAGTCACGTGAATTCTGCCCCCTGCCATTTTTAAAGATTGCAGAAGTTACCATATATGGTTCCTTGTCTAATAAAGGGTAAAGAAGAAGAGCTTCCTTCCCTGCAGCCTCTCAGTCCATGGCAATTTAAAGCACACTTGACTGTAGACACTCAAACCAGTGTTCCAGCAGCTTCTAATTCATTGCAGACCTGCTTTTTTGGTGATTTTTGATTGTCCTCCCTTTTTTTTCCTTCCTGTTCATGGCAGTGACACAACTGTGCCATACACTTTATACTCACAAACAATTGTTTTCACAGATGACTTCGCGATCTGTAGTTGCTTTGAAATAATTCCAAATCCCTTTCCTGACTTGTTCAAGTCAATTTGACCTGTAATAAATCTGTGAAATAACCAAAATACCGATTAGTTTTTTTGTGACAGAGATGGATGGGTTTCATTGATTACATCATAAAATGTTCAGAGTTCTAGGAGTCATTCAGAACGCAAGACTGCCATGATATACATGGTTTTTACAAGTGTATGTAAACTTTTCTTCACGACTGTATGACAAATTTAAAGCTTGTTGTCACATGTAGGGAACAACCATTAGCTGCCAGATATTTTTGTACATTTTATTACTCATTTTTATTACTTCCCATTATTTTACAAGGAAATCCTTTTCTTAATAATCGTACTGTTGTGCCATATTTTCTCCACTTGTCGATTATTGTCTTTTCAGTGTTCCAGCATATATCCAATGGCTTACCACATTTGTATGTAATCCTATCCTGATTGATGTTTTTCAATAGTAGTATCCCATACCTTCTTTGGAAGTTCTTTGTAGCCCCCGCCTTTCCAGTTGGACATTACCAAGATGTCAGTAAAATCTTGTTAGTACAGCTTTGCTTTATTGCGGGTAATCAGTCACTTTGATGTATGGCAGGTGAATACTAATTGATATTTAGTGTTTGAATGTGATTGGTGGATTCTGATAACTGCCACATTCAAATTTAGAAAAGGTTGTGCACACTTCAGCATCCAAGTTATTGTACAGTTTTTTGTTCCCTTTTCCCCCTTAAAGCAACTGTTGTTGTTTATCACCCTAATTGATAGTTTGCAATTTTGCAATAAAGGTTGAAAAGCTCCTGTCATGGTTTGTTTTGGTGTTATTTCAATCACAAAAACCTGCCATTTTAAGTGAAGTGTGTAGACTCATTATATCCCCAGTAAATCCAAATTCAATGAATGTATGTTAGAGGCAAGTTCACAGTGACCTTTCCCCACCTCTGGGTAAATTTCTCAGTGCAGCATTAGACAGGTCTTAGTTAAGTTAAGAGGCACAACTTTGCACAGCTTCAAAAATGCCTTGGAGGTAGGCAAGTAAACCTGCTACAACCTGCAAACAGCTTAATAGCAGCTGCTCTCTGCACAATAATCCTCACTGTGACGCAGATTCAGAATATGTTTGAACAGACCACATTGTGAGGAAAGTGAGTTGTTGACTGTGGGACTAAGATAACCTTTACAACTGGTCTTTGTGCAATTGCATTTTATAAAGAATGTAAACAATGCTTTCTGAACCAACCAGTGTGATGCCTTGTGTTTTTTCCAGACTCACAGTGTGGAGGTGGAAGAGAAGGGTGGAGGCTTCTCTGTGCCCAGCAACTGGTTTTCACTGCAGGGCTTTCTGTTCCACCCCTTCAGAACCAGGTGTTCAACTCAGTTTAAATCTTTATTCCTTACTGACATGGAAACATACGACTTTCTTTTTTATATCTATAGCAGTCAAGTGCCAGCAGTTGTAGGAGCAGAAATGAAAACCTTAGTTGTTATTAAAAGGGAGCAATTTAGTATTCCATAAAGTTGGCAGACTAGTAAGAAACTGATTTTTAAAAAGAATAGCTGGATAATTACAGTCTGGGCAGCAGAGGTGGAGATATAAGAATGAATTCCACACTTCCCATGTTGCGTATTAGATTAAAGCCTCACCACCTGGTAAGTATCTATTCAAACTGTATTTTGTAAAGCAGGCTTTAAATCAGACCTTTTTTAAAGCAGACATATTGACTTTCGAACAAATACCATGAACAATGTCTCTGGTCTATTTCCGTTGTTCAGTGAGCCAAGGCTCGGTGACAGCCAGCAGCCTGCACAATAGCCTGATGCTTTGCCAGTGTAGTATTTATGTTATGACAAAGCTGCTTCAGGGCCACAGATGATATTATAAGTATTTTATTCACTGGCTGAGTCTATAAGGAAGGTAATTAGTGCAGTGCTGGGCTGGAGCCTGGACCCTGGAGCCTATCCCAGCTGACTTAGGGCGAAGGCAAGGGACACCCTGGACAGGTCGGCCAGTCTATCACAGGGCTACACTTAGAGACAGACAACCAAGCACACTCACATTCACACCTGAGGACAATTGAGAATCACCAGTTAACCTCAACATGTTTTTGGACCTTGTGGGAAGAAGCCGGAGAACCTGGAGAGAACCCACGCTGCACAGGGAGAACATGCAAACTCCACGCAGAAAGATCGCAGGTGTTCTCACCGGGACGCGAACCGGCGACCTTTTTAATGTGTGGCAACGGTGCTGCCAACTGCCCCACCTTGCAGCCCACATTTATTCTTATTCTTATTATTACTTTTAAAATGGGTAAATCTGTTTAAACAGAATTTTACTTCATGTTATCACACATGCAAAAGTGTCTGTGTTGTCTGCAGGAAGAGGCCACAGTTAATATTAGATATGGCATGACCATGCACAGGGTAGCAGCCCTACACAATAACTAACCAAACAACATTTATTTAGCTGTAAACCTGATATTTGCATGCTTTTTAATAGGGAACTCCAACAATTCTACATGTCATCATCACTTTACAAAACATTTCAGTCACTCTATAAAAATATAGCACGATATGTTATCTGTGGCTTGAGAGGTTTGTGACATCTAAAAAAATCATAATTTTCCCCCCATAGATATTTTCTCATAGATAATTCTCCACTGCCATTCATTGCAATGATGCATCTGTGCTGCGCTTTTTGCTCCTGTGAAGAGGCCTCTGCAAATGCTTCCAGGACAGAATGTATAACCACAATTAAATAAACATAACTCACTGAATTTTCCAGCTTTTTGGCAAATGCCACATACAGACAGGTGACAAAATACAGTTTTTCTCAGCCATATTGGTACAATTTTCAAATTGTACCAATATTTCTCAACACAGTTTGTACAAACTGTACTACACAATGTGTGAAAGACTCTAAAAAAACCAAAATTTGCTCAAAATCCTTAGTTTATACTTTACATGCAGCAGACATCTGATTGAATTATATATATAACACTGTCAACTACTTTGGATAAAACTTTTCAGACCTGTATCAGGGAGGAGGGGAACACTCAAATATAGAGAGAGATCCAGACCTTGCTAAATTTTGGCCTTCCATGTGAGACTTTCAGCCAGAACAGTGGCCAGATTAGCATTAAACCAAAATAATGAAAAGGCTTTAGTGTTTGACATGATGATAAGATTAAGATTTTTTCTGTATCTCTTTTCTCTCTCTTACACACATATGTACACACACAAGTACACAGGATTTCAGTATTGACATGGGAAGAACAGTTCTCCACCCTCTAGAAAACACCACCCGATATCAAATTAAAGGATGTAAATCCTTAAGATCTTAAAGATTTTCGGACCGCTCACCAAGTCTTTTCTTTGAATCTTCTTCCTTTTTAAGGCACTTTTATGGTTATTTTTTAAGGTGAAACAAGGCCAAGTCATAACTGTTACCAAGATTTCCTACATTTTTTTGATATTTCAGGAAGTGCCAATTCAACAGTAGTTTGGACGTGTAGGGTTTTAGTGTGGAAAATAAGATGTACTCATTTCCACACACTAAAGCAAGTGATTGCATTAATTACAATTATTAAAACCAACCTTTGAATTATTCGTCCAGCGATATAATCTCAGAGTCAGCATAATAATTCTAATAAATTGTTTACTCTTGGTGCTCAGTCAAGAGTTGTTTTATAAAGTTAAGGGAATTAACTTGGAGCTTAGGTAATATGGGGCTAAAACAGAGACAGTATAAGTTGGCATTGAAAACACAACCTTGGCATTGTAAAAAAAACAACTTGGCATTGAAAGCAGACTTTTTTTTTCTTTTTACAATGCCAAGGTTGTGTTTTCAATGCCAACTTATACTGTCTCTGTTTTAGCCCCATAAGGTAACTAAAGATCACATACGTAAAGTGACTGGATGTAAGATATAGAAAACACAGGAAACAACTGTATACACACACACAACATTTATTACTAACTAAACAAACAAACAAATAACAAAAACAAACATAAAATATAAAACACAAACAATGATGAAAATGCTGGTTGAGAAATATGAATGTGAAAAACCTAATGTGGAGCAGAGTGATGGCTTGGAGACTTAAAAGTCTTTTCACCCGAAGCAGCAGATAATCTGTTAAATTTGGAATATTGGTCAGAAGGCCAATTATAATCATAAAACACCCGTTTAGAGACAGAAGCTTGATACTTGCAGTTTCCCAGGTGCAGCAGCGTCTGGGAGAAGAGGCCTTCAGCTTGAGTTGGATCAGGGTGTGGCAGTTGGAGTTGCTACATTGGACCAAAGTGGGCAGCTCTCCTGCCTCATGGAGAGAGCCCGATGGAGAGAGAAAGAGAGAGAGAGAGAGAGAGCTGCTTTTCGGGTGAAGAGACCTTTTTAATAGTAAAACTACTGACCAATCAGAGCGAGCTCCGCTCCCAGGGGGGCTGTTAGATATGACATCCCAGTATCACTGGGAGGTCATGAGGTGGTCATGAGTTTTGCTCTGAAAGTAACAATGTTCCTTCAGAACTATATGTACTTTCAATTATACAAAGTTAAGTTTGTTGGAAATGAATGTGTCACATGTAAAGCTTCACGGGGAGTCTAAACATGACTAATCTATCTTGTACGGTTACAGAGATAACACAATGCTTAGGATATGGTAATATAACAAGCTGATAAATTAAAGAAGGACTTATCCAACTGTAATTAAGCTTTGGAGTATTTATTAGGACATGATATATCATAACATTTAACGATTAGACTTAACACAAGATAATAAGGCACATCTTCTGGTGCTGTGTCTTATTGTTTATCCATGACTTCAGTTGTTAAGTTCAATTGTTGCATGCCACAGGAAATGAGGGGTCAGCAGAGCAATACGTTAAGCCAAGGGCACTTCATTGCGCCTGGCCATCTGTTAAGGTCTGCGTGGTTGAATGTTTTTCTTTGTCTTCCCCCAAACGCTTCTACCAAAGTTAGATCCTCCGAAGCTTTGATAGGTGATAAGGAAATTCCTAAGGGGGCTCTGCTTCCTCACTCCTCCGAGTCTGCAGAGCTGATTTACATGGCCCTGTGACCTGCAGGACAGTTCTGTCTTTTTTATGGCATGTGACTTGGATGCTGGAAAGTTCAAATGAAGTTTTTCGAATCCTTTTGGGCATCTGTGTCTGTCCATATCCTACAGACGTTATGTTGTCCAGTCAACACAGCTATTGAACGTATTTAACAGGTGCAGTCAAGGAACGTGAGATTAGTAAAGCTATCTGGTTTTAAACACAATGAACCAAGACTCAGTGGAGGCGGTATCACATTCAGCATCTGCCTGCTCCCATACGCAAAGACTGAAGTTATTGAGTTGTATACAGTTCAGGTAAACTTTACAGTTTACTTTTTATTTACATTTATAGGAAATATTTGCTAATTTATATGTTAGGTAACATCATTGACAAAATTGATATATACCGTGAGTCACCTGGGAAATGCATATTTTTTGCAAGAGATAATCTAATAAAAATTTTTTGTATAGAAGCATATTTTTTAGTGGAGAAACATCAGCAGGTGCTTGTGCATTATCATACAACTACATGTTCAAAGGAGCATGGATACACTTTATCCTTTTTATTTTCACTCACAAAAACAGACAACATGCTCAAAAACACAAATGATGAATGAATGTCAGTTTTAGTATATTATTCAAATATTACCTCAACAAAAATGGAAAACCATTGACTTGATGTAAAGATGGACAAACCCTCCACGACCTATAGGTTTTTCAAACTAATGTTCGACTCAGTTTGGTGGCTCTAGCTGTTGTCATCTTGGCAGTACCTACAGTCAGGCCAGCTGACAGCCTTCCCTGGGCCCGGGACAAGATGATACTAGATGCCCGCCCCACTTACCCACATCTCCCCTTTTCTTTGCTCTTCCTCTC